ATCACTATGTGTGTGTGAGAGAGAGAGAGAGAGAGAGAGAGAGAGAGAATGCCCCAATTCCTTCCTATCCCAACCAAATGGAAGACCCCTGTCATGAAACTTTTTCAGTAACAATAGTTGGTTATTAGTCTCATAGAGACAGGGAAAAAACTCCATATAACTGTACTTTAGTGTTTAAAATCCGCATTCTGTGATAGGGTGGAAAGCTTAAGCTCAATTAGGTACTTTTTCTGTTATTTTTGTAATTTCGCAAGGCTGCCTCTTTCGCCTCCATCTTACAGAAATGTCAGTAAACCATGTACTAGGACTGCTCATTTTTCTCTTATCAGGTGCCAGAAAACCCTCAGAAGAGTCTCAAGTTTGCCCTTATAATTCTAAAGAGACAGGATGTAAAGCATCTAATGTACTAGCAGCTGGAAAACTCAGCTTTCCCTGAAAAAGAACTCAGCCTGAAGAGCAGTATGATTAATGGTTAACTAACTGTGCTTCTACTTTTCTGACTGCCGGCCGCTTGGTACTAAATTAAAACTTACCATAACCAAAGAACGTAACAATTAAATATGTGATGGAGCTATAAAAATGCTTACCGAAAATTAAGAGGAAAAAAACCAACTTGTGTGAAAGACAAGAAATGAAATTCCAAAAAGTGTTTCACAAACTTAAGGTACTCTATATTGGGCTATGGAAAGCCTTTCAAAAGATGGTGGTCGGTCCATCACTCATGATACAGACAGAACAGGATAAGGCAATGGAAAGTTTATCATTGGAAAGATTTAGAAATAGTTCAGTAGTAAACACTTATCAAAAAACCTGGATACAGAGCCAGTAATTTACCTCCAATAGGATAAAAAATGGGAAACCAGCTTCACTGATAAGGAGACTAGTATGGACTGGACTAATATGTCCACATTTCCTGGATCTATTCCAGGCATGGATGAGACTGTTTTAGATGGGTTGCAACTATGATCTCCAATACTCAGTAATTAATATGTTTATCATCAAATGAATTTTATCTAATAAATGCTTTAAGGCGGGGGGGTCATATAGATTTTATGCAGTTTGTAGCTGTATACAAATTAAGCACACTCTGAAACTTATGATGTTGTTAATATAGTGAAAAAGTTATGAAAACAATATGGGTTTTATCCAGGTCAAGTAAAACTACCACCATTTTGGAATACTGAAAACTCTGCATGGTTATGCTTTCTGACATGCCTGAATGATCACACCCCTGTGGAGCCCATCTATCTTTGGGCTTGGAAATGAACTTGTCAATTGACATTTACCTTAAAATTGTAACCAGGACTTTGGTTTCAAGTACAGCAAATGAACAAAATAATTTAAAGGATTTTAAGAAATTTTTCTTAAAATCTAAGACTAGACTCTAAATCTAAATCTAGACTCTCTAATGGGCAAAATCAGTAGTTTTCACCCAGTCTTTGAAGGGAGAAAAACACATTCTGTGTAACTAAAGTGGTAGTGGTTGAAGTGGGGATGGGAGTATCCTTGCACTACATGTTCCAAAAGAACCTATTACCCTAGGTAGGACAGCTTGAAACCCAGGCCTGTGCTGCTTACTCCATGGACAGTGCTAGTGAGGACTGACATAGAACCCAGGCCCCTCTACAACAGTCTGAAACCAAGGAAGGTTTCTATTACCCCTCACCCACCCTGCATTCTGTCTGCTAGTTTTTCATGTTCATGCTTGTCAATGTATAAGGTAGGAAAACAAATCAAAAGAGGTAAAGCCATCATTAGACTGCCTTCTTAACCCAAGCCAGGCAGAAAAAGAATTAATCGATATTTAGTACTTTGGACATATTGGCTCTAAAAAGGTAAACAATAGCAATAAAACTGGATAGAATCCTATTCATCTTTATTTTTATATCACTGTTATTATTATTTGGCTGTGGCTGATCATCGTTTTTCTTTAGGGCTTTCCAGAAAGCCCAATCTGATAACTAAATTTAATTGCCCTGTGCCCCGCCAGAGCACAATGATAACCCAGTCAATGCAAGAAAATTAAGATCAACAATTTCTTTATAACCTGTTTTAAAGCTTTTATTTCACATGTAGACTAATCTAAAATACTCATTTCAGAGTATTCTCAGTGAGAATTTTTAAACTAATTATTTTAAAGGTCTGTATAACTTGTAGAAAATGCGAATTTTTTTCTCTTTTCGATACACGATTTACTCAAAAAAGTTTGCTTAAAATAAGTTTGTCTATTTTCATTACATTTATCACACGTAACTTCCTACTGATATCAGTGAGAGGTGCTTATGTGAAACAGTTGAAGCTTGGAATATACTCCTACGCACAGCCTTGGCATTTACATACGTCTAATCAATAAGCTAAATTACTGTCACGAACTAATAGGAAAATTTTATTTTCAGGCAATCATTTTTCAAGTCTGTTTGTCAGCTTGTTAAACTGGGCTTCACTATGAAATTTACAATTGATATCTGCCTATTCAAGAAAACAGTATCTTTTCATTTTCAGATGCAAGCTCCTCCGTGGGCATGCAGCCTCCTTCCAGGTAACGTGAGGATGCGGGGCTTGCTTCCACCTGAGGGTGTACCACCCAGGCGCGCGCACCCTAGTCCTCCCTCCACCCATCCCCGGGCCAATGTGGCACCTCGTAAGACCAGAACCCAAACGCGAAAACTTTCAGTGGCAAGCTCTACTCCACTTGCTTGGATCTAATGAGACCCAGCACTGGGAACTGCACTGGCTTTTGTTCCAGAGTCACCCAGCTGTCGAGGTAAAGTGCCTCGGGAGTCCTCCATCCCCAAAGGTCGTGAGAGATTCCGTGGGACGGGAATTTTGGAGCCTCACGAAAGAAGCCTACTTATATGCCATCCACGCGTGGGGCGTACAAACACCCAAAAAGAGTACGTGGGGTGGGCATGGATGAATCCTCAATGTCTTTCAAATTCTACTTCAGTTTCAGGTTCACAAAGTCAGTCTCCTCCTCCGTGGAAGGGCGCGCGGGGGGAGGGGGCTGGGAGACGCCGCGGACCAGGAGAGAAATAGGGACAAGAAGGGTAGCGGAGCTACAAGCAAGGTACAAGTCTGGCCCCGCCTCTGGGTACAATCTGAAAAGCTACAGTGTGACAGTGGTTTTCGGCTTCCTGTTTGTAAAACGAGAACCTCCCCCCTGACTCTGGAACTGTGGTTCTTCCTCAAAACCGAGATGGCCCCTTCTACGCGCTCCGGGCAGGCTCCGAGAGCTCGGAGCTGGGGCGCGGTGGGGCGGGGACTGCGCGAAGGAGGGGGTAGCGAGACCGGCGCAGCGCCCCTCCCAGCCGGGCGGCCCCGGGGCCGAGCAGGGCCGCGAGGCGGACAAAGCGCCTCCTGCTCCCTCCCCCACGGCCGCGTTCCAAAAGGGAGGGGGTAGGAGGGCTAGAAGGGATGGGAGGGGAGGAGGAAGGGGAGGAGGGAAGGTGCTGCCGCCTGGACCCGGGAGGATCGCAGCGAGCTGGGAGGGGAAGGAGGAGGGGCTGGGCGCCCTCGGAGAACTGGGAGGAGGGAAGGATTCTTGAAGCTCAAGATAAACAAATTGTTCCTCTTCACGTGCGGGGTGGGGGGAGGTGGGGAACTAGCGCAGCGGCCTGTCCTCCCCTCCCCCAAGCTGGCTCTTTGTCACGGAGCACCGGCCCCAGAGCCCGGGCGAAAGCCTGCGCCGGCACTGACACCACCCCCGGCGGCGACGACTCCCAGACTGGGGACGTGCGCGATTTATAAACCGCGCACCGAGAGAGCCGCCCGTGCCGCGCTCCGCGCCGCAGCTCCAGGCGCGGTAGGCACAGGAACCAGGCGAAGGCGCACCGCCACCGCGCTCCTGGATTCCCATCGCCCAGCCCACCCAGGTCTCAGACGACATGGTGGGGGAGGGGGCAAACACCTTTCCCAAGCTTCCGGCCTTCCCCACCCAGAAAGGAAAGCAAAAGAACCAGAAAGAGTAGATAAGAGAAAGGATTTTGGAGGGTGGGAACTGCCCCTTCCTCCCCGAGAAGTTAAGCCATTGGCTGCTCGTCCAATCTCGGACCCACCCACCCAGCCATTTAAGCCTCTTTCACCTCCCTTCTACCTTCCACTCTTCTGGGCTTATTACGTCCGCAAAGTTGGCGGGCAGTGGGGCGGGGGACTAAGCGGAGAAGGCTCGGTGCTACCAAGTTTAACAGGGGGAAGGGAAAGAATCCCAAGCGAACTTGCGTGGCGGCGACTCTCGGCACAAGCCCTGGGCGTAGCTTTCCCCTCCCGCCCCCTCCAGGCCGCTCCCCCCAGACCCTCCCCGCCGCTCCACCTGCCGGGCTAGCCCTTGGTCTCTGAGCCGCAAGCTGAGCGCACCGGCGCCCCGCATCTGCGCGCGCTCCCGTGAGCACCCCCGCGCGCAGCCACCCTCGCTCGTTTCTCACCCACTTCAAAGTTCATTCACAAAACTCTTAGACTTTCTCAGCCCAAGGGGGTGAGGTGGAGAGAAGAGGCGAGAGGTTCTCCTTTTACTCCCCTTCCCCCAAGGAGTTGAGGGTCTGGTGCCCACCCAGAATCTGAGACAGCATCAATTTCTCCCTGCACCCATCCGCTGTTGTGAGAGAGTGGGTACGGGTCTGGGGAGGCCAGCAGCTGGGCGAGAGGTGGGGTGGGGAGCTGTGAAGAGGAGGAGCAAGGCTTCAACTCAGGGGTTCACTCTTTCAAATCATAATCTTAAAAAGGGAGGGGGGAAACTTTCCCAGCACCTCACTCCGACGCTCCCTCCGCCCCTCGAAGTCGTGACTGGCTTCTCCCCCTCTCGCCCCCTCCTCCCCAAATCTGACAACCCTGACAGATTAACAGGTAGCGCCGACTGCAGCTTTTTCCCTAAGAAAAGTTGACGTTAACCCTTCGGCTTCAGCCCACTCACTCACTGTGCAAATCAGACCCTCACACCCCCATGTAAGAAGCTCCACGCCCCCCCACCCAATGCGCGCCCGAGCCCGCTGCCAGTGCGCCCTCACCATGATCAGCGTGTGGTTCCTCTGCTCCGCCGAGGCAGCCTCCGCATCTTGCTGGGGTTTGTTCGGGTGCTGCTGCTTGCCGGTGCCGGCGCCCGATTTCTTGGCTCTCTGTTCCAGAGTACGCTGGTAAAGGCTCACGGTGTCCCGCCGCTCCAGCTCCAGCTGCTCCACCTGAGCCTGCTGGTACCTGTTCTCGCAGTTGACGTGGTGCCGCCGGCAGCCCTCGATGCGCTGGCGGAGCCGCTCGACCACCGTGCTGTGCTTGGGGACCGCCGCCGATCCGCCGCCGGGGCCCCCGGAGCCGCCGCCGCAGCCACCGGCAGCGGGGTGATTGCTACTCGGAGCAGCGGGAGTACTATTGGGAGTATTATTCACACCGATCCCAGCCCCGCCGAGGCTGCTGTTCAGGCTACTGTTGATGCAAATACTACTGCCATTTGCGGCAGCAGCGGGGGCTGCGAAATCCCCCATCCTGCTCCCCGGGCACACTATTTTGGAAGAACTTTTTTTATCCACCCCCCCTATCAGCCTCCTCCTTGGGTCCAAGGATTAAAATAGTTTAAGTGGAACGCGGGGGAGACGCAAGCACATGGATAGAAACGGCGATCCCGACGGGGCGAAAAAAAGGGGGAGATTTTGGGGTGGTTTTGTTTCCTTTTTTTAAACTGTAAAAGCTCAAGGGGAAAAAAGGGGGGGAGTTATCGGAATACCATCAGACACCTATCAACAAAAAGAATCACAACAAACTGAGCCAGCAGCAAATCGGTTGCAACTCAAGGGGCGATCCGCTCCTCGCCTGCCTTCTTTTTATAATCCATTATTTTCTAATAAATTCCAGGAGATTTCCGGTGGTTGGCAAGCATTTTCTCCCTACGTACCGAAAAACACACCCCATGTACACACACAAGCATATGCCTCCAGTGCGGACACGCGCGACACACACTCACTCCACACCGAATCGGAAAACGGCAAGCTTGCTTATTGCATTTTCCTTCCACAAAAAAGTTTTGGTGTTTATGCCGCCCCGTGTTCTCAAAGTACTTTGGCTGCTCAGTTGCATTTCACAGGAACCTAGATATCGAATCCTCGGGCTGGGGGAAGTAAACACATGGACAGTCCGAGGCAACTGCAAAAGTAGATCGGTGAAGTCCTTTGCAAAACGCCGCGCGGAGAGCAGCCCCTAACGCTCGGCTGGGCTGCCGCTGCCGCCGCTGCTCCTGCCACCATCACAATGATCAACTGCTCGCCGCCGCCGCCGCCTCCTC